TTAAAAAAAAGACGTTTGTTACAATTGTACAACAAAATGTCGTCATAAGATCTTAAATCCATGTACGTTTTAGAGAGGGAAGCCCATTTCTGCAGAAAGCTGCTCCGCTGCTGCTGAGTCGGGTGAATGCTGTAATCCTGCTGGTTGAACTGGGCAAGCAGCCATTAACATGATAATTAACCTGTTTGGCTGTTTTCTCTGTGGCAAACGTAACGGCAGCCCAGCTGATTTCACTGCTGGCTCTTCACATTTAATTGTTCACTTCCTTCCTGTAAAGTCAATTTTCTGGGTCAAACTGGTGGAAATATATTTGTCTCATTTAGGTATTTGCTTCGTGTTATTTTATTTTAACAGGCTGTATCCAGCTATAATGAAGTTTATGAAATACAAAACGTGTCACAACGCAGTACATCGCCCTCTAAGGGTTATAATTTCGCTGATAAATTATTGCGATAAACGATAGTATTGTTGATTTCGGGCCGTTTTCAGGTAATATAATGCTAATGGGAAAATAATGCAATAAGCTTTCATTTATTATGAACATTTAACTCTGGGACTGGAAGATATTTTAAATATAGAACATAAATAAACAAAAAACAATCAGAATGAATTTTGAAGTCTCTGTAAATAAAATTGTTCTTTAAAAAAAAAAAAAAAAGCACCAGAGTAAAAATCTTGTGTTGGGTAAGTTAAAAATTTGCCTTGATTAAAAAAAATGACAAAAGGTTTTGCAAGGCCACGTTTGTGCCATTCTTGGATTGCAGTCAGCGGCCACACAAAATTCATCAAAGGGTCACAAACGGCCCCTGAGCCACACTTTGGACAAACATAAAATGTTGAATTTTTACATTGAGCTTATAATGAACAGCCTCCTGGTGAGCCAACAGTCTTAGAAAACTCGTCAGCAGGAGGAAAACTGCGCGGATGAAACGTATTTGTTCCAAAGGGACGGAAAAGCAGGAAGGAAGTGGCGAGGGAGGAGCCGCTTGTTCCAGAATAATGGCCTTCGTCAGCGAGCGACCGGCCGATCTGGGACTCGTTTACTTTGAATGTGTACTTTAGATAATTTATTTGATACTCGTTTTGATTCTGGTTAGGAATGAACTTCTTATAATTGGTTAATCTATAAAATATGTTTGTCAGAATGTTTCCTAATTGTCTCCACGCCCTGTCCAACATGGCGGCAGCTGAGTGGCGTCTGTTTTGTGCAGGAGTGAAATGGACTGATCCCTGTTTCTCTCTCTCTTTCTCTCTGTAGTTTTCACATCCAGTGAATGCTTCTTACACAATACTGAGATGTTATATAATTTCACACTGAAAAGTGTCAACTCAGCTGAAAATGTTCAATATTCTTATCATTTTAATGTTTCCCACAGCAGTAAACAAAAACAATGTTATTTTTTAAAATGCAGTAAATTATTAAAGTTTCTGGTTTATGCAGAAATCTTTATGCACAATTAACAATCTGTCAACCTTTTGTTCCACCACAGCTTAATTAATATGAAACAACAAGAAATCTGTTTACAAACTTTTGTTTATTAAAAGTTATCAGGAAAAATCAGGAATAGTTTCTGCAGTGAACTTCTGGTATTTTGGATTTCCTGTGAAATTAAATTATTAGTTTCCTGTGAAACACTCTGTACTGTGTCTTCAGTCAGAGGCTTCTTCAGATTCAGTGCAATACAGACTGCTACAGACTGATAATAACTCTTTGAAGCATTTGAATTAATATGAGTTACAGCAACAACAGTTCTATTTTTAATAAACTTGATTTTTCCTTTAAAGAAGAACAAAAATGTTTTGGGTTAATTTTCTGTAGCTAGAGAGTAAAAAGAAGTGATAATTTTTACTCCAATATCAAATAAATACAAAAACAGTCACATTTCTTAGAACTGACAGCAGATTAGCTTTTGCTATTGTATGTAAATAAATAAATTTTGACCCTCCAGTCCTCCATAACCCGACCCGCCGCATGTTTTAATGCATGTTTGTGGGTTTCTCTCTGGGCCATTAAGTCGTTAGGTCATAAATTATGCTGCAGCTTGTTAATATAAGAGCAGCCTTTCAGAGTAATGACCGACATGTGGGGACAACCACTTAGGGTTGCATTTGACTCCCAGCTCTTACCTTATTGATTATTTTTTGCCCATTCATCCGACACAGAGACCCACTGGCTGCTCCCTGCTGAGGGAAACTACCAGTTTTCTAAAGTATTAATCTGGTTTTTGTTTATTTAGGTATTGTTTCTTTTTAGGGGCAGGACAATATGGCTGTGTTATTAATCAATATCAATAATTTATTAGTTTTTTTTTTTTTTGTTTTAAATATCTGAAATGCTTCCAAACATGTTGCTAATCTCTATTTTAAATAAATGATGTAATCTGATGTCATTCCCTCTCTAAACGACACTCTTCTCTCCTCGGTTCCCTTCTGCACCCTGATTGGTCGTTAAGTTTTCATAAACTCATGATGGAGCATCATCCCCGCTGCTGGTTGCTTCATGTTGATCAACACGAAGCCTGGAAACGAACAAACGGATGAGAATCTGAATGAGTCAGAGCCGAGGCGCAGAGTTTTCTCCACAGTCCTCCCACAGACGACATGATGAAGAAATGTGAAGGAGGAAGAGTTCATTATTAAATGAGATATGTTGCAGAGTCAACCAGGAACTGACTCACTGCTTAGAGTGACGACTGGAAAGTTAAGTTGCCCAACAGAGAAAAGTTGCTGCATCTCTACTCGTTTATCCTGCACACCCAAGTAATCCACCAAAGCATTAAGGTTTTGTTTAAAAACACAGAAATAGGCATTACTCAGATTTGATCATGTTACGAAATTGCTTTAGAGAATTGAAAACAACGGGGAGAAAAGAGAAATCTAGCATTGCCTATCAGTGGGAGTTCATAGTTTAGTCCTAATGGACGGCCTATTAAAGGCCTCTTATGCTACAAAACCTAGAATTACCTTTATAAACTGATCAGGGTTCCTTTAAGAATCATTTCAGTAAATTCACAACACTCCACTGCTGAAGAAAAACGCATTGCAACTCATTAAGTTTCCTGCAGAGCATCTGAATAATCCAGATGAGGACGAAATGACATCTTTTTAGATGCCATATATAAAGTGGTTCTGTGTGTGCTTATTGCACAACACTCCACTGATGAAGAAAAACGCATTGCAACTCATTAAAGGCTTTTAGTTTTATCCTGATAATCTGAAATCATCATTAGAAATATAAACTTAATTTATGAAGCTCAAACTGAATTTAGGCTTGTACATTTAGTTTTTCTTCCATTTTTAATTAATAGATATTAATTTTTCGGTGACTGAGGTAGAGAATCGGTTCTGGACGACATGCGGCCCGTTTCCTCCTGCCTCTCTGGGTCGCACATGGACGCAGCACGAGTCCACAGATCAGTGCTGTGAACTCTTGAACCTCATTCTCCTCCCGTTCTTTGTCCTGTGCTGCCAACCAGCAAACTGACGCAGAACAATCTGTGGTTTTTTCTCTATCTTCGTTGCCTCCTCCATCTCTGACATCCTCCTCCGGGTGGTTGCTAGGCAGCAAGGGGAGAGGTTGATGGTGCTGACGCTGAGAGGCAGGACCACTTCCTGTAAACAGCAGAGTGGGAGCTGTTTGCGCTCAGCTGCAGGCTGAGACGAGACGGCCCAAAATAACCCGTTCCGGCTCTCAGAAAGAGGGGCAGCCATGTTACTTAATGCAAAGTGAATTTTCACAGTGGGCTTAGAAGGCCGTTGTAGATGACCACAGGATTTTCCAAAGCCTTTGAGCTGTTTTCTCCTTTAATGCCATAAAGTGTGTTGTTTGGAATGAAGTGGAACATGGCTGGCGTTGGGTGTTTATGCAGTAAACTGGTGTCGCTCTGCATATAAAAGGCCGGCTTGTGTGCGCGCTCACCCGAACGACGGAGTGCATTTATTAGTCCGCGCGGCTTAATCTGACAAAGCACATCTTTAACTCACAGATTAAGTGGAGACAAACGTAGCTGAGCTGCCTCTATGCTCTCCTTTTCCCTTATTTCCTCAAAGCTATCTATGACCACTGGAACACGTTGGCCTGAATATTCGTAGTTTTCATATTAACCTAAAAGTCGATGTTTGGATACGTAAAAACTCATAACTTACTTCAAACATGTTAAATAAAAATACCACAATATGTCATGTGGTCATGCTACAAACACCCTTTCATCAGCAGTTAGGCACATGTTGTCTTGAACCAAACTGAGACGATCGGCTTGTAATCTATGGTTTATTATATAAACTGGAGCTAATACGATTAGCTACAGCTAATGAAAGTAGAGCTAGCGCCATTTGCTGGAGATAACGGCATTAGCTAGAGCACAGATATTAAAGCCACCAGAATGCGCTTACGCCATTAACTAAAGCTAACGAAACTAGCAGGAACTAGTTCTATTAGCTAGCGCTAACACCATTAGCTAGAGCTAGTGCCTTCAGCTATATCTAAAGTTATGAACTGGATTTAAAGCCAGCTTGAGCTTACATTGTCTATTACATTAGCTTCAGCATATGCCATTACTAGGGTCTTACACCATTAGCGGGAGCTAGCGACTTTAGCTAGAGCTAACGACACTAGAGAGGCTAAAACCATCAGCTATCGAGATAAAACAAATCAAAAGATAATGAATGGACGTATAAATTGACAGTGAAGCATCTTTTAATTTTGCTACACGATTCTTGAGAAAAAGGTTTGGTCCTGATGCTAACTGTAAACATCTAGAGTTAGAAATTGAAGCTCTATTTCTGGGTTAACATTTCCAAGCAGCAGCAACATAAACGCCAGCTTTTTTCTGCCTTCTCTCCATTTTCTCCTGTTTTCTCTGATTTCTCCCCTTTCAACGCGGTCTGGTTCACATTTAAACGGATGATCGATACTCAACAGTTACTTTACTGGCTGGACATCAGCATAAGCAACTTGTCTGTGTCTGAATTAACGGCGGCTCTCCTCTGACCCGCCTCAGCTTTGTGGAGGTGAAGATGACCACCGCACGGTACCGGCCCACCTGGGAGTTGGCCGTTGACCCCCTGGTTTCCTGCAAACTGTGCCTTGGAGAGTTTCCACTGGAGCAGATGACCACCATCACGCAGTGCCAATGTGTCTTCTGCACACTGGTGAGTTTTACACATTCTGTCACATTTAAGCTAATTGTTTACAAGGTTAGCTAAAGCATTAAGCTTTAATGCTTTTGTTGCCTGTAGAATTGATCCAAACATGTATTTAAAAAATGAATTACGTAATTAGAGAATTAAAATCTAACTGGAAAAAATAACTTAAAGGAAACTGAGTGTGCTAATAGTTTACAAAGTTACCAAAAATTAGCTCCACTATTAGCACATTTGTGGTTGATAACATAACATCCTAATAAAATGCGTTAATGATAAAATGTGAAAAAGATCTTGGTTTATGGTCACTTGTGGCTCATCCAGACATATTTCTGTTTTGTTAATGAATCAATGTGTCATTTTAACACAGTGAAAACCACAAAAATAGTTTCACTAAACTCTGGTTTATCATCCAATGTTGCAGAAAGAAAGTGACAACCAAACCAAGAATGAGCTCTAAATTTAGCTGCCATTTCCTCAAACCGGCTGGCAGCAGCGGTTACCAGAGTTCACTCACCGCTGACCATTACAGAGGGCAGAGTAAACACTCTGAGCTGAGCTTTGCTATCTGATATTTGATATCTACTATTTACTTTGCAAATTTTTCTAATCTAAAAGAAGTTAAATACAGGCTGAGGTTCAATTCGAGCAGTTTTCCTGGCAGTGGACGCTCTGGTTTCACAGTCAGAGGATTTCCACTGGAACCATGAGGTGAAGAAGTTTGTGAGGTGTGAATACTTGCTCTGACCTTTGTTCTGCATTTTATTTTCAGTGCCTGAAGCAGTATGTGGAGCTCCTGATTAAAGAAGGCCTTGAAACTGCAATTAGCTGTCCTGACTCTGCCTGCCCTAAAAGAGGACATTTGCAGGAAAATGAGGTAAAAATCAAAACTGTCATCACCAAAACTGTTTTTGTTTTAGTCAGGGTCGGCCTAAGGTACAAGCAAACTAAGCAGCCGCTTAGTGTCTTAGGAAGAATAGAAAAAAGCCAAGGTAAAGGTTTGTTTTAATGTTTGATTTTAGTCCATATGTAACATAAAAGTTGGGTCCAATTTATATGAATAAATCACCATTTGTTTTATTTTTTTAAAACTTTTTCCTGACTTTATTATCTGGTTCTCTAATTAGCTGCAAAGCACTGCATCCTTGTTTTCTTTGTCATGCGTTTATTTAAGCTTTAGCGCGCTGTTGACAACCTGACGGCTAGTTAGCGTCAGCTAGCTGCTTCTTGCCCTCCAGCAGGCGGCTGGAGACGTGTCGTCACGTCGCAACCTGTTGCATCCTTCTAAAGCTGCGGCTCAGCTCTGTGTGTTCTGTGTGGGTCGGATCCGCTCGGTTCTTTACTGCGCCTCAGAGGCTCGTTGTGGTTCTGCCCGCCGCAACATTATGTTTCTGATCAATTAGCGTCTGATCAACTTGCTGCTGATGAAACCCCAGCTGCTCCTGCCGGTCTTTCTCTTCTCTCAGCAGGTCCTTCGCTGTGAAATTGATTCTTCTTTACAAAGCCTGAACGTTCGATGCTTCGACCACTAAATGAGGCGAACCCTGTTTGCTCCAACGGGACGCTGCTCTCTCTATTTCCTCCCACAAAATAAGAATCAGATCCAGGGATGGACTTAGAATTTGATTTGTCGGTAAAAAACTGCAATATTTTTTAGGTAATAAGTAAAAAATGAAATATATTCTACTTGAAAAACATTCTCTCTGAAATATACGGCATCGTATTAGGGATATTATAGGTAGAAAAGAAAAAAGGAAAAGTGAATTTTGGTCAAAAATCTCTGAAATTTTTAGGTTTATTTTAAAAAAATTCTAGAAAAAGCATTAAATATTTGCATTAAAACGTCAGAAATTTCTAAGCTTAATCTCAACATTTCTGAGTTTGAAAAGTTGAAAATTTTCTACAAAAATCTGAAACTTTCAGAAATTTTCAAAAGAAAACTTGGAAATTTGAGTTTTCCCTTTTAAGTCTAAAATTTTAACTGTTTAAACTAAGAAATTTGTGGAAACAATCTTCTGAAATCGGTAAATAATATCACTAAGCTGCTCTCAGTCATGCCACTTCATCATATTTTCTAATTTACTGTTTTTTATTGAAGCTCTCATTGAACAAAGAGGGAAAAAAACTGCAAAAATAACATTTCTATTCATACCATGAGATTTTTTTTATTATTTAGCATCAGTAGCTAAAATTTCTCTTGATTTCAGAAGCAAGAAAATAGTAAAACTGGAGCTTAATAAGGTGATACTATTCCTGAAATGATGAATGTGTTTCTGTGTAAATATAGCTGAATAATTTCCTTTTGTCCTCTGGTCTGTCTGCAGATCGAGTGCATGGTGGCGACGGAGATGATGCAGAGATACAAGAAGCTTCAGTTTGAGCGCGGTAAGTCGCTGCAGGTTTTACTGATTCCTTTTATTCACACCTGGATTCCTGCAGGTGCTTGAAAACCTTGAAAATGCTTGAATTTCAATCACGTTTGAAAAATTCTTCATAATCAAACTACATGGTTTTATAATAAAGTGTAATCTTATGTTTGATTAAAGGCTTGAAATTGGAATTTATTAATTTATATATTTTGTATAAAAGGACAGATCATTTTTTTCTCAGTCTGAAATTAAAACAGACTAAAATTTCCTTCTTTGTGGCCAATAAGAATGAAGTTATCTTGTTTTGAATAGATTACAGCACATTATTAATAACTGCGCCTGTCAAGATAAGCATTAAATCAATTAATTGTGTAATAAATTAAAATACATCTCTGGTACCCATTTTATTTGTGGATTTGATTGTTTTTGTTTGTTTACTTTTTATATTTAAAATGTTTTCTTTTGTTTGAAACTAAAATTTATTTATCTGAGAGAGAACTTGCATAATTTTTTCATTATGTCTGGCAATAGCTTAGATTAAGATTGGTGACATTATTAAATGCCTTTCATATTGTTTTTATCTCCAAGCTGCGATGCTGGAAAAGTTTGAAGTTTTTAATCTTGTTGTTGTCTGGAAACCAAAAAGCCTCAGAGAGATGAACGTTTTTGGATCAGAACATTTTGCTGGGCTCAGACCGAGCCGGACGTGTTTCTGGGTTCTCGGGGTTCTTGGCAGAGAAAACAGGAAAAAAAGCAATAAAATGGAGGAACAACAATCTGTGAACTTTGACCCAGTAGGAAAAGAAAAATTGTCTTTGGAGATGGATGCAAATATTTGAGATAGAAGGAGGGGAAGAAAGTTTATTTATCCACCAGCAGAATAACGAATGTTTCTGTGTTTTACTAACATATTTGGACATTTAAATGTTTCACATTAATTAAAACTGCAATGAAGTGACAGAAACATTCTTTAAATGCAGTTTAAAATGCAGCATTTTCAGCTGAATGAGTTCCTAAATATTTATTCAGCTTTAAAATAACTAAATTCACTGCATCACATTTCAATCACATTATAAATAATTATTCTGCGATTTGAAGGTTTGTTGCATGATGGAGGATTAGGGCAAAGCTGAGAAAACAGTGTTTATTAGACAAAAAGTCGGAATATTACATGAGAACGAAGTCATATTATGTAGTCAAAAATAAAGTCATAATAATATGTAACAATGTGAAGATATCGTAATAATACAAAAAAGTCATAATAATGTGAAAAAAATTAAATACGACTTCAGTTGTAACACTAAGAGAAAAGTAAAAATGCACAGATCTCATGAAAAAATCTTTTTACTGTTTTAATTATTACGACTTTTCCCGTGTTACTTTGAGAAAAGTTATAATAATACGAGAAAAGTCACAACATATGAGAGTGAAGTTGTTATGATAATGAAATCCTAGATGGACTGAACATAAAGAAACTGAAAGTTGCTGCACTGACCTTCATTAGGAAACATTTTAGTTCTTCTTTTCTGCAGTGATTAAAATAAATTAATTTGTTTAGGTTCATTTAATCCAAAGAGACGTGCTTTAGTTTTTAAACAGTGATGTATTTTGCTGCCGTGGCTCCAGAGGTTCTGTTGGACCCGTGCAGGACGTGGTGCCCGTCCTCCAGCTGCCAGGCCGTCTGCCAGCTGAAGGAAACCGACTCCCCTGCTCTGCCCCAGCTGGTCCAGTGCGCCGTCTGCGCCCTGGAGTTCTGCTCCGCCTGCAAGGCCGCCTGGCACGCGGGGCAGGCCTGCCAGGAGAGCAACCCGCCCATCGCCTCCTTCCTGCCCGGCGAAAACAGGTCAGAACAACGATCTAAAGCTCCACTAATGCAGAGAGAAATAATCTGTTCAGATTCACATTAACAAGCAATTTGTAGATGTGGAACTTTTACAAAAAAAGTTACAGTAACTATTTTTATTTTGTAACTATAATCTGCAAATAAAAATTCACATTATTTTAAAGCACATTTTAAAATAATGTGCTTTTGTTTTGAAAGACGTATTACAGACGTAATGTAACTGATTTCCTGCTGGGTTGCAGCTCTTTCTACAAGAACGAAGAGGACGACGCCCCCATCAAGCGCTGCCCCAAATGTAAAGTGTACATCGAGAGAGACGAGGGCTGCGCCCAGATGATGTGCAAGAACTGCAAACACGCCTTCTGCTGGTACTGCCTGGAGTCCCTGGATGTGAGTCGGACTCGTTTCACCTTAACGGGGAACCATTAGGAGAAATTCACATGTTTCATGTTTTGGTTCTTCCATTTGGGTCTCAGAGATTATAAAGCGCTTAAAAAGAGAAGATAAAAAACACCCGGCGGTTTTCGACAACAAGTTCATGTTTTTAAAAATCTACTAATTATTGACTGGCTCCCTGCCAACGGGCGGAGTTCTGCTGGGGTTGCTAGGTAACGGGCGGAGTTCTGCTGGGGTTGCTAAGTAACGGGCGGAGTTCTGCTGGGGTTGCTAGGTAACGGGTGGAGTTAAGCTAGCAGAACTCCACCCGTTACCTAGCAACCCAAGAGAGTTGCTTATTTAGACAAAACTAACTTATTAATAAGTTTTCATGTAGATTTATGAGTTTGTTTTTAAGTTTTAAAAACTCCTTAATATTGATGAAAGGTTCTAGTGGATTATAACGTCCTCTAATATGTAAATCAAATAACCTGACAATAAAACTAGAACTTTTTCATCAATAATAAGGATTTTTTTATTTAAAACAAGCTCATATATGTTAGTTTAAGTTAGTTTTTGTCTTATTTCAGGTGAAGTAAGACGTTTGCATTTGAAAGTAGACAAAAGTATTTTGTTAGGTTTTGTGTTTTTGAATTATGAGTCACATTTAACAAAATACAATTGGAGAAAATAAATGAACTGGTCAGGGAAGATTTAAATTTTCATTTCGGTTCATTAGAAGAGACAAATTTGATTTAGAATTCTTCAGCTGGTTGCATGAGGAGACATCTAGACGTCTTTAAGGCTACTAATGGTCGCTATTTAACTCTGTGTGTGTGTGTGTGTGTGTGTGTGTGTGTGTGTGGTGTGTGTGTGTGTGTGTGTGTGTGTGTGTGTGTGTGTGTGTGTGTGTGCACCAGGATGACTTCCTGCTGATCCACTACGACAAAGGGCCGTGTCGGAACAAACTGGGCCACTCCCGGGCGTCGGTGATCTGGCACAGAACACAGGTAGGAACGTTTTCCTGTTCCTGCACTTGATGTTTCTTTCTCATTGGTTTCTCTGATTTCAACACGGTTTAGTAACTTGAGGTGAATGAACGGGAAAAACAATAAACTTCATTTAAATTGCAAAAATGTACTTCAGAGATGTAAAATTGTAAACTGTAAAAAGTTAGCTGTAAAATTAACAACCCTGAACAAAAAGATCCAAACAACCTGATTCCAAATTAAATCTGGTGCCTCCAGATCAAGGCTTGGCTCCAGCGCCCCTGGTGGCTGGATGACTGAACTGCTATATATTTGTTGGCTAAATATCTGCAGTTAATTTGTTTATTTCCATGTGGCGCTCCTGCTGAAGATGAATGTTGAAGACAGTACATTTTAGAAATAGTAAAGAATTATTGACTTAAAACAAACTTATAACTTGCTGAAAAGTTAGTGTTGTTTTATTTCATGCTTCCTAAAATATTTTCACGAGAACTAGACTAAAATACTTGTTCAGATTTTGTATTTTTGCAGTGTTTAAATCATCAGACTGAATCTAAATGAGCTCAAGATGGGCTTTGACTAGACCCAGGACTTCTTCTCCAGTATCACGGGTTTTGTTTTGAGTCGTTGTCATGGTGAAGCATCCAGCAGACGGTTTCCTTTGACTCCTCAGTCTGGCTTTAATTATCAAACATCTGTGGATCCTGCTAACTTCCTCCCATTTTAAAGTTTTATTGACTTCCAGAGAGTAGCGTAAAGTAAACTCCGGAGAAAGAATGTGTTTCTTTCTCCCACAGATGGTTTTATTTCTGAAGTTTCACCTTCAGAGTTTGGCGTTGTCTATTCAGAGCGCGGTGCGTCACTGTGTCCGACGTTCTTGCTATTTTCCGGCATTAGCATACACATTGGCATCTGTTCTGCGCGGCCAGGCTGAGTCATGTGATTGTACTTCATCTGGCTGAATCCTGCTGAAGCTTTCTCTCTCTGTCGGGAGAAATGTTCCAGGATGATCGTGTTTGCATGACAGCTGAGTCTCTGAATAATCTAAACCAGAGAACAGCGTCTAGACCGGCTAACAGGTCCAATCTGTGCTTCACAGGGAGAAAGAGTTTGTTTACCAGAAACACAAATAAAATGCTGAAAAATGATTAACAATCCTAAATATGTCCAAACGAGCAGGAAAAACATGTTTCAGCTCCAAGTCTCTTTTCTTGTTGTTCCCCAAGTTGTTCATTTTGTTGTGCTTTGGTTCCCCCTTGTGGTGAATTTAATAAGTTACACGGAAGCACTAAAAAATTTACTGCTTGAGAAATTAAAAGTAGCTCAATAATTTCCATTTGCATAATTTATTATTTTTCTGTTTTCTACCTGAGAAATGTCTTCAGGTTGGTGTTTTGGTCTTTTTTTTGGAGAATAGTTTTGTTTCCAGAAACTTCCTAATTAATTTGTACTTGTTTTGGATTTAAATTGTCTTCCAGTTCCAGACTTTAACTTCATTAGAAGTTAAAGTTTATTAATCTTTGAGAATATGTTTGTGGATTATTACTCCAGTGAAAATGGTCTCAAAACAACAATCTTATTGTTTATCGCATTAACATTTGCTATTAAATTGCCATATATAGTCTGAAAAAATCTGGAAATTTTCATTTCTTTCTAAACGTGTCCTTTATTCTTTTATCTACATCAGCATTCTGCAATTGTTAAAATCCTAAAAATCCAATTTCTGTCTCAGTTCAGCAAAATGAAACTAACTTAGAGCCACAGCTGTTACATAATCTTGTAATTTTTTATGAAAATCTGCACTATAAAATTGATTATTTCTCCAAAACTGCCATTTTATTTCTGTATTTTGGTTTTGAAATAGACAAAATATATTTAGAAAGCATAAAGTTTCCAATCAATTAAAGAAAAAAGGATCTAAAACCATTTCTGAAAAATGGAAAAATGCTAAACTCTGCTTTAGGTTATTACATATATATTTATAAACTTTTGATAATTTGTTAGAATTTTTAGCCAAAGATTATTAGGAGACATTGTGAATATTAATTTCCCTATTTTTTTCCATTTTATTTGTTTATTCCTTTCTTTTGTTCTAAATTTTCTTCTCTTTTTGTTCTTTTGTGTCTATATTTATTATTTTCTGTTGTGCTGCTGCTGCAGGGAAATAAACAAGAATTTTGGTTTTAACTTCCCTCTGCTGCCCCCTGCTGCCCAATGCTAGCAACTGAACAGCTCAAAAGAATATCTTCGAGAAGTTAATTTATTTCCAGGATTAAATCCAAAAAGTGAATCGCATAAACTCTACAGATTCCTTCCACACAGTAATATAATTCAGCTGCGTGTTGAAGGTAATGAAAACCTGGAACTTTACTAATTGTTCTAATTTGTCTTTCTTTCAAGAAGTTGTGTGACATTTGCAGCTCTAAACGAGTTTTATTTGGTTTCTCTGAGAATAAAAAGTTGTAAAGGTTGCAAACCACGGATCGAAGATAATTTTCTGCAAAACAGATTAATAAATCTAAATCCAGTGAGGAAAATTTAAGGATAAGACAGAAAACATTAATTTAAGAGAATGAAGTCGGATTATTACAAGAATTAATTAAATAAGACGCAACAATATGAGAAAAGTTATTCTATGAGGATGAAGTAGTAATTTTTTGTTATACTTCAGGAAAAAATCCCTTTTTAACACATCAGGATCAGATTATTATCAGAACTTTGAAATGATTGAACAAGAAATTTATTTAGAAGAAAGAATCACAACAGATCTAAATAACGAAGCTTCGCTCTGATTAAAAACTGTTTTATCTGGGAATATTACGTCTTTATTTTACTAACAGACTTTATTCTTCTATCCAAAAGAATCATTGTTTGAATGTAATTCTTGACAAAAAGACACTTCCTAAAGATATTGTAAAAGCTGCTGCTGCTGTTTTTGAACTGTAGTTTGTTTCCTGTCAGGTTGTGGGGATCTTCGCCGGGTTCGGCCTGCTCCTGCTGGTCGCCTCGCCCTTCCTCCTGCTGGCCACGCCCATCGTCCTCTGCTGCAAGTGCAAATGCAGCAAAGGCGACGACGACCCGCTGCCGACCTAAACGCCCCGCAGCGACGCGTCGCATCTTCTTCCCGTCGACTTTCACCACTTTTCCATTCTGTTTTCCTCCCACCAGCTTTGAGAGAGCTTCATTTTTCCGAGCTGGGCCTGAAGCAGCCGCCGCTCTGCATGAGGAGGACAGAAAAGACGCCGCTCCTCCGCTGAGACGTTGGGAAAACTTTGGACGGTTTGTGAATGCGAAGAACGTCTGCTCTTCTTTTTTTTTTTTTTTGGTGTTGTAATTATTTTGGGCAGATGCGAACATTTCCTGGTCTGCTGAACGGACGCCTTCGTAGAAGGACTTCTACCTTTTTGCTCTGTAAACACTAAAGCTTTCCCTCTCTGCAGCGGTGTCCAAACGATTCGGCAAGGGGCCAGAAACGCCATGTTGGAAATACTTTCAGTTTTTTTGTATTTCATTATTATTGTAAAAATATCTTGTGTGTTTTTTATTTTTTCCTGATGGGCAGGAAAGTCAACATGATAGCAGACAGATTTTCAATTACTGAATATAAAAAATATAAAATAGTTTTGCAGGTTTGAAAGATTTAAAAAAAAACATTCAAAATTTTTCAAGTTGATATTTTTGGAGCAACTGTTATTTTAACATAAAAAACCTTCAGTTAAAATTCTCACATGGAATCAAGGATTATATTTATTCAAATTCTAAAATACTATCAAAATCTATTAAATATTAATAGATTTTGCTGGACGATAAATTGTCCCAGAAGTTATCGTGATAAATGATAATATTGTTGCTTTGAGACCATTTTCAAGTAACAAAAATCAGGAAACACTTTCTCTAATATAAGTAAACTTTAAATTCTAATTAATGTTTAACACTGGAATATTTTCAAACTCCAAAATAAATAAGCAAAATAATACAAACAACAAATGAAATGAAAACTAATTGAGACTAATTACTTTTTTCATCCAGCTTTAGTAGAAAAAAACAGAAAAATGATAATGAAAATTATTGAGTTTGTTTTAATTTTTCATGCGATAAATTGATTTATTGCAAGAGGTCCAGTCTTTTTAGCAATAAGAAGATTTTATGGCTTCATATTGAAGAGTTTATTAAACAGTAATAAAGATGTTTATAACCCCAGTTACTAATCAATAAAATCTAAGCAAAAATCTTTTAATACATTTACATTTTAAGATTTCACCCTAAAATTGTTTTTAAATCCTTCTTGAATTGTGATAAAGGGCCACTGAAAATCATTTCAAGGGCTGTGAATGGCCCCCGGGCCGCGCTTTGGACACCCCTGCCTTACCGCCTCACTCGATGTAGCTCCACAGATTCAGCCGGTAGCAGAGGAGAGCTGCGCCATGCATGTCAGCTCTCTGTACAGCACGTCCTCTCGATGATGTCAATGTTTTATAATCTTGCGCTTTTAATAGATCCGTGCTGAGAGTCGTGTGTCTTGTATATTACAGTCTTTTTTCCAGCTGTTAGGCAGACGTATTAAAGAGGATTGCCACTCAACTCTAACAAAAATATTGTTTTTTTGTTGTTTTTTTTTGTTGTTAAAATAAAATTTGCCCCCAGCTGTCTTGCAGGGGCGGGTCTAGATTTTGTTTTCTTGGGGGGGCCAGGCAGGAGCACAAACTGTAAAATTGCAATTTCATGAACAAACCTTGAATATTCAAGCTATTTATTTACCCAAATAAAACACATAGATCTGCCTAGCATAGATTTGTTTGTTACAGTGGCTAATCACATGATTAGCTTGTTTTAGCTTAGCATAGCTTAACTGTATAAAACTCTGTTTTTAGTGCCGTTAAGCTAACTCTGTTCAATTTATGAACTTAGTCAAAATTACTGACTACAAATTGCAAATAACTGTTTTATTTCCCGCTTTGCTCCTTTATGAAGAGTTTTTTGTGTGTAGCTGATTTTTCACATTATTATTATATTAAACATCATATAAATGAAACTGCCAAAGGGACTAGAAATGGAAATTAGCCAGTTGGCTATAATCTCTTGTTAATTAATAGGAATAATCTATTTCTACAAATTAAAATTAAAAAAATTATTAATTACAGCAGGTGCATTTCTGTCATCTGCTGACAATTATTATAGTAATTGATTATTGTATGGATCATATTGACCAATAGATAAAAAAATTGGCAAATTTTTCATTTAACCACATAAGCCTTATTTTACACAATATTTGAAGTAATTCTTTACTTCTTCAAATAGAACAATAATGTTATTGCCTAAAATGCAATAACATAAATATCTTTAATTTGTAGTAAAAGATGCGTCTGTAGCTCAAAACTTTTGATTATCTTCTGGATTAATAAATGGATAGCAAAAGTTGCTTTAATTTTTAAAGAATTTTAATTTTTACAGGTGAAGGTTAAACTGCAACTTGAGGATTTACAAAAGAGGTTGTTTTCTCTCTTTTTTATCTTAAATGCTAAATGTTTATAAACTGTATAGTTTTGGTTCAATCACTGTTCTGTGTTGTTCTTTCAGCAAATGGCCATTTTTATGCTCCAGCTAACAATTAAACGCTTACCAAATTAGTTGATGATTACTTCAATAATATTGAATCATGATTAATTTGGTTAATATGATTCATCTATTCTACTGATATGGAGTGGATGTAGAATATAAGGGTAGCCGGTCCCCCCTCAGCCACCCTGTGGCTACGCCCCTGCTCTCTTTTCACCTGAAAATGAGTGGCGCTCCCCTTTCAGTTTATCAGAAACTTATCACCTCAGAGGACTTTGTATCCACATTATTGTGGAAAGATTTTAGGCTTAGGTTGAAAGTTTAGCCAAATAGAAAGTGAAAGCCTTAAAGGCCTAAATCAGGCAGCCCTCCTGGCGCATTACAGGTAAAAATCCTCTGATGCTAATCAGCCCAGGGAGCATGTGTTGCTAAGGCATTGTTGACAAGCCCTTTACTGTAAGTTGATTCTATGATGTCATCAGTGTGTTGTCATTGTGTAAAAAAAGATAAAAGGTTCTTAAATAAAACGTTTTCTGACCCCATAAAAGCCTCTGAGCAGGAGAGACTGTCAGCATGCATTCAGCCATCTTTGTTTATGAAACCCTTCACACTTCCAGGAGTTGGGACATTAACATAACACGTTGAAGAAGTCTGATGTGTAAATATTAAAGAATGCTGCATTATTTCATCATCATGGTCACAGCTAACAGATTTCCTGAATACCAAGGAAAATGATTTTCAGACAAAGTTCTGTGCTAAGATTTAGCGGAAGCTAACTGTCGAAGCTAACTTTAATTCATTCTGTCCTTGAAATACAACTTAAATGTGACATAATTGTCATGTTTTTAACGCCCTCAGACATTGTATTTATATGTTTATATCTTGTTCACGACTGTCTGTGTTTTATTTTGCTCCTATTCGTGTCTTAAATAGTTATTGAGGCAAATGGAGAACGTGCACCGGAAGTGCTACGTAAGCAGTCTCCAGCCACTTCAAAATAAGAGCATGAACACAAAAGTACTCACATTCTCTGCTTAAATAGAGGAATAGACATTTGTATGAAAAAATATTCTGGTAAAAGTACAGGTTGAACTGTTTTACCCAAAAGTAAAAGAATACAAAAAGTAAAATAACATTTTAAATGATTTTCATCTTCAAGAATACAAAATTACTTTGGATAAATGTAAAAGACTTAAAACGTTCTGGTCATGCAAAATACTTGTTTTTCTTTTGCCGATGACATGTTGGTAAATTCTTGAGTATTTTAAACCAGCAGTCCTGAAATATCAAGAAGACCAAACGGAAAGGGCGGGAAATGGAACCATTACACTCCGGAAATGAAGGGGGCGCTGTTGTTTTTATCTTCCTTTGAAATCTGATGTCTTCACCTCTAGGTATTTAGTGCAGCTCACAGTCATTAATGAATCCTGTATCTTTCTGTGTACTTCTAAATCTTCTCCCTAGTTACATCTTTACTGCCTCTTGTGGCGAGGGGATGGTAACACAACTAAAATACCAGGTTGTTAATTGGAATACCACAAAGTCTTTATTATTTATCATTAATTTTGTTATTCGCTACACTTACCCCACTAGGGTTAAGCGTGTTGCAAAATGGACAGATGGGTTTTATTTTTTCCCTCCATGGGCTGCCATCTAAAAGCACCTTAAGTAGCGACTACATCAGGATGATCGGCAGCGGTAAGACCCTCCTCCTGGCTCTGATTGGTTGTTTTTGGTGTTTTCTTCAGATGGCAATAGCAGTTGGAGGATATCAATCTTTCCACAGATTATTTGTCCCATAAAATGTCACAACATGGAGACAATTAAAAAACTTATTTTTATAGATGTTTTGTGCTGCAGCTTTAAATTTTCAGCAACAGAATAGATTGAGCATTTGTAATATTTTGTTTCTGGTTATTGACGTTTAACAGGCGGTGTTCACATGTTTAGCTTGCATCAGGCGTCTTCTCTTCATCCTGGGCAGCTCTGTCTGTTCTTGTGCCGCTCTTTGTGCTCATCAGACATGTGTCAGCCTTTTGTTAAGGTCTGCCAGAGAACAGGTTGTTCTCTCCCTCTCCTCTCTGCCTTTGTGTCGACTTCCTGCCAGATGCTGGATCGGGAGCATTAACAAGACAACCCTGAAAATGAAAGTGCAAACGCTCATCGATACATCATCCCCTCGCCAGCTGCTCTCCGCTTGGAAGTCTCTCCGCCAATCGCCGGGCGAGACCACAGGAAGTTGCCATCTGTGGGCGCCATAGCGACAGAGTTTGTGGATGTGCAGCGGAGCCGATGCGTTATCTGAACGGGGAGCGTGCCAGGAGGCGCGGGGATTGATCTGAATCACCTGGTGGAGGAGCAGATAAAAGCTCAGAGTCTGCAGAAACAGGAAGGGATGGAGGCCGCTGCACCTGCTCCGTGTGGAGAATGAGAGGCTCACATGTGTGCTGGCTGGGGGCCCGTCTTCCTGCACCCTGCTGCCAGATCGTCCTGCTGCTCAAACTTCAGGCCTTTCAGGCTGTGCATCACATAGTACGCTAAAACTCATCATTTATACCGCAAAAACACAAAACATTACCAAGTAGTTTTACTTTATCTTCTAATGCAAATATCCAGTCCAGACAAAACTGGCTTATAGTAACTTTTCAGAAATAAATGGGAATGTTTCAGTCAGTTATTGTTTGAGATTGATGGAAAAAAAAGATAAATTTGCATTTTTTTCACTTAGCAAAATGTCTGTTTTTCTATTGTTCTTTCATTTTTTCTTTTCTCTTTTCTTCTGTAATTCTTAATTTTTTGTCCTTTTTCTTGTTTTTTTCCTTTTGTTTTACTTTTTCTATCTTTCTCTCTTTCTTTAGTTTTTCCTGTTTTTCTTTTTTTTTTGTTTTCTTTCTGTCTTTGTTTTTTCTTTTTTTTTCTCAAAAGACCACAGATAAAAAATGAACGAATTATATTATTATGAAGAACGTTTTACCATATTCAAGGACTTTAATATGTTAAATGCATACAGAAAAATTTATAAAACTCCACAGTTATAACGCAATATAGAATCAGATTAAAAGAGTCATACAGTACAATTTGTACTGGATGACTTTTCTTGTGCTTTTCTTGTAAATACTTTCTTAAATCTGTTCAAACTTGAATTATTAAATGTGACTTAAACTCCTGTATCTTTCTGAAAAACGACTTTAAATTAGTTTTGTTTTATTTTAAGTGCTTAGATATTTGCATTAGAAACTAGACCAAAAATACTTGGTAAGATTTTGTGTTTTTGCAGTGTGTGAACATGCTGGTAACATGGCAGAGTTTTGTAAACTGTAAAACTAGAATTTATGCAAAATCATATCTGGTTTTCATAGTAAATGTAAAAATGTGTTAAATTTCCCTGTGGCATGCAGTAAAGTGATCAACCACTGCACTGATTTATAACTTCATCTCAGGGGGAAACGTTTTGCAGCTACTCAGAGCAACAAAGTGATAATTTGTGTTTTAATAATCATTCCCTGTTTTGAAGTAATAACAAGTTGTTGTTATTCACTGATCTCCCTGCCAGAAGAGGGAACCAGAGAGCCGTTAGAGCGCCGGCTTCCTGTCAACAACATTCACTCACTGCTGCAAGTCCAGCAGAAACATTAAGATTGACATGGGAAAAATGTCAAATAATCCAACCTGGAGCTGTTGAGCGTTTCATCAGTATTAAAACAAGATGTTGCTGAAAGTTACTTTAGTTTGGTCTTATTTCAAATGACCTAAGATATTTGCTCTAGAAAGTTGACAAAAATACTTGGTAAGATTTTGTTTTTGAAGTGTCAACATCTCCAGCTCCTGTTTTTTAAGAATTTTTAAAAAAAGTTTTAAATCTTCTTTTGCTTTCATAGATCAGTCCAACTGGATGTTAATTAGCAAAGTGTTTTTATTCTGGAAACTTGCATAATCTTTTCTGGTAATTGTGCTAAGCAGACTAACTTGTGACGGAAACTGCAGTTGTTTTCTGTTTGTGGAGTAAAGATCATTTTTATTTGTCTTTGCTTTGGTTCGATCCATCCCATAATATCTCCAGTTGTCCTGCTGGAAGGTGAACCTTCAGCTTTTTTTATTTACTTTCTTGCTGGTTTCATCTATCTGGTTGTGTTTCTTTTTCCTGACTCTCCCTCCTTTCTCCCAGTTTTTCTGCCTGCAGTCGTTCACCTGAGCCTCGTCTGAAAGGCCTGCTGGGAAATCACGCCGACCTTGTGGGAGTAACGCTCGCCGAGGGCTGCTGAGGAACTCAGGAAAACTCGTTTCTGTCATCAGGTGAGCGTCAGGATGAGCTTTGCAAAGAATACATTGTTTGTTTTTGTTTTTTTTACACATTATTTTCATAGAGCTCTTTACATGACATCAGGTTTGCGTCTGTTTAGTTGCTGGCAGCTGATGTGGCTTTGATTAGAGGGACTGAAATTGTCAGAGATGACGATGTGCACCCTGCCGCTCCCTGTACCAGTACAGCTCCCAGCAACGCACCTGTTCCCTCAACCTGCTCCCCACACACACACACACACACACACACACACACACACACACACATACACACACACATCGTCACGTCAGCGCCTCTGGTTTCAGCTCGGCTCTTTCCCTCATTAAGGACTCAGGGAAATCTGACAGGTTTTGACAGTGAGGGTTTCCACACAGATCCTGCCAAGGTGACAGATATCTGACAGCTTGTTGAAAACCGCTTCTTTACCACACACACACACACACACACACACACACACACACACACACACACACACACACACACACACACACACTAGTGTCCCCCATGGCTGATGACAATAGGCAGCTGTGAGTGATGGACAGGTTTTATGAAACGTTGCAGATCAGGAAAAAGGAGGGAAAAAGTTCATGCTGGGATAAAAATAAGGGAGGTTGTGAACTTTTGCTTCAATCTTTCAATCTGAGGTCAAAGTTCAGTGTATATTTTCCTTTTATTATTCAAACTCGTTAATAAAATTCTTTTGAAGTAACCATTTGCAGAAACAAGCCATCGCCGATAAAATTAGCACTGATTTTAATTAGTGACTAGAAATTTCTCTAGCATTTATTTTCTATTTTTTGCGTATTACGTAGAACATAAAGAATACGCATCTGCTTAACATTTCAGTAGTTTTTCAGTTCATCTTTCTGCTGTCCTGATCTGTATAATATAAGCCGCTAATAGCTAGCTGGCTAACAGCTGAAGCTAAACCCGCAACTCATATTTTACCCAGAAAAAGCAAAAATATAAAACATATAACGCAGAAATTAAAGTAATGGGCATGTCCTGATAGCAGAGCTAATTTTTAGGGTTTTTTTGCTAACTGAAAAACATCTAGCACACCTAACTAGCTTAGCTTATGTTTTCAAAATAAATTTGAAAGCTCCTATTGACTTTGCTGCTTTGCAAACTTTTAGCTGATTAAAGTTTGACATCTTTTGTTGAAGTTTTGGTTATTAACTAAAGATTTTTTCAAATATTTAGAGTTTATATTCATGCTCTTATTTTGAAGTGAGTGAATCCTGTTTACAAATTGAACTTCCCGTTAATGAGAAAACCTTTTTTGGTTCTGGATCTTTAATGATGTGCAGATTTCTTAAAATTTTGTCGGTTAAGCAGGTTAAAAAAAAAAATCACAAACTTGTGCATTTTTTGTATTTTAATTTTATTTAATGAAGTTTGTAGTTGAAATGTGACCTTTTATGCTTCTTGAACTGGTTAGGATAGATCTATGGGCTAAACAAAACTCATTTATTAAAGTTTATTGAATCTCATGTAAAATAATTTTACATGAGATTTTAGTTCTGCCTTTAAATGCCCCGGAGCTCACCTTGCCTGTTTGGCTGCTAGGTAACGGGTGGAGATT